TATATATATATATATATATATATATATATACAGAGGAACATAAATAAAAAAGTCACTTGTCATCTCATTGTAATCTACGTACCAATAAAAGTGTTGTCTTCAAACTCTTATTAACTCTGTTTTTATAATGTAGTGTGAATAGCCATCACAGTACTCAAGGAAAAAGTGATAATAAGTCAAATTCAGTCCAAAATTCAAGCTTCAGACGCCAATACTGAACCTTAATGTTGTTTTCAATCGATATCTGCTCAAAAGGCGTCTACAGCAAATTGAAATTAGAACTTCTTTGACATAGAACTCTTTGCCTAGTGGTTATTATCTGCTAACTTCAGCCGATAGTCAGTGTTATGAGTGGGCATATACAAAGCATGGGGACGTTGCTTCTGTACCTAATTTAAAACTACTGCTTGAAAAACACAGGTTGCAAGTTTATATTGTTTCAATTAATAAAAGAAGATTGGTTATTTTTGCGTCTGAATTTTTCACAACAAAATCAACTTTTAAAGGCATACAAATAATTCTTTAAGAAGAACGAAGATGACTAATTTTAACATCTGTAATAAACAGAGAGATTGTTGTTGATGGATTGCAAAACTATTTGCAGGGAAATTTAACACGTTGCAAATTCAAGACGAAAGGGGAACAGTGTCTTTAGTTTGAACAAAAATTGCCACTTGATATGTGATTATGGCTGGAAATCAAAACCTAACAGTTGAAAATAGCGAACAATAGTAAAAAAACAACAGATGGAAAAAGAGATATAAAAATAATTTTACGACTGCGCCTACAGATCGATCTGTATATTTGTATTTTGCAGTACTGAATTGAAGTAAAAAGTGACAGCTATTTAGAGTGATTCATCTCAACATTTTTTTCAACGCAGCACCCTTTAGAGAAAACAATGCGAACACAGCTAACAAAATTCAGCTACAAGCAATTTTTTGTGTACTGCTAACAACCTAATTGGCCGTAAAGCTTAGGATACAATGTAACCTCCTGAAAACTTCAATCAGAACTTCATCCTTGATTCTACCAATATTAAACCTGACGGTAAAGGGACTAACGGAACTGTCAATTCTAATTTCTTGCATATTAA